GGATGGAAGATGGGGCTGCCATCCAGCCCCCACCCCCACCCCGTAACAAACACGAGCTCACCCTCAGCATGGCCCTGCCCTGGTACTGGCGAAGACACAGCAATGCCCCCCACCCCCAGCACCCCGAGCCTCTGCATTTGCAAAGCCAGAGGAACCTGTGGATAAACTGCCAAAAAGAGCGACAGGGCTGGGAAGGGCCAGGGCCCAGCCCCTCTGCACAGCTGGAGTCAGACTCCAAGTGCGTCTTCGGCACAGACCAGAGTATGTCCCGAGTCCCGAGTTCCCCAGGAAGGAGCCTCTTAACAGAGCCTAAAGGAGCCTCTTGACTCCTAACCCAGTGGCGGGAGCTCAGGCTGTCCCAAAGTCGACTCTGAGCCAGGGTTGTGTCCACGAAGGGAGGACCCCCGAACCCACTCTGGACGACGGAGGCAGGTGGCTACTTGTGCCGACGTGGAGGGAAAGCTCGCGGTTGTGGAAAGCAGCACAAGCGTCCCCACGGCACTGCCTGTGTGTGCGGGCGACAGCCACAAACAGGGGTCGCGGGGGGCACACAGGCGTGCTCCCAACAAGTTCGGTCTGGGCACACCTGGGAGGACCAGCCCCCAGGGAACATGGAGTTAAGTGTCTGAAAATCTGGAGCCTGTGTCCACAAACAATGGCTGGTCTGCCCAGGGAGGAGGGCCACCAACAGTCCGAGGGTGGCCAGGCGGCTCGGCCCACGCCAGGGAGGCCCAGGGCTCCCACCTTCCCACCAGTCAGGAACTAGACGCCCCACCTGAGCGGCCAACCAATTGGGGTGGACAGGACCACGGGGCGGCGGGGGGTCGGGTGTCCCAGAGCAAATGGGCAAAAACCCTTAGCTGAGTTAGATCAGCAGTTACAAGAACCTGGACGTTTAAAAACTCAAACGCCAGAGACGCACACCGGCAGGGGGCGGGGCCTGCCCCACCCAGTGAGTCACAGGAGCTGGAACGTGACATTGTAGCCTGCCGTAGCCAGCCGGAAGCGCGGGTGTCGTACAACAACAGTTGCAGCAGAGATTTCATGGCTCGGTATTTTTAAAAAACAGCAAGATACGAAACTGGAGTCAAAAATAACTTTGCTGTGGGCTTCTGAGGCAAAACCACCGCGCTGCTTGTCGGCCCAGGGCCCTCACTGCAGCCTCCCAGATGCCAGGCCGGCCTTGAGGAAGATCCGGCACCTCGCGACTTCCAGACATGACCCCGACCCCTGCCACTCAGGAGTCTGTGAAGGACGCGGAGGGAGCCGGTGAGGGGTGAGCTCGTGCAGGGGTGCCAGCCGTGGAGAACAGCCTCGCCCTGCTCACTGGTTAGCTCTCCCGCTTCCGTGAAAGGGACCCCCAAGTCGCTTGGTGACACCCCCATAAGAACACGACAGGAAATGCCAGGGCCTCTGTCTATACACCCAGGAAATGCCCATCACCAAGTGGGCAGCTTGGCGGCCTCGGGGGTCCACCCTGGAGTCCTTCTTCCAGGTGTGGCCACAATGGGAGGGGCCTGGCCGTGGCGGATATGAGCGGAAACTCATGGAAAGAAGGCCCTAAGGGAAGTCCCGGCCCTGCCTGCGATGCTGACCTATGCTGTCCACTCCACGGGACAGGGAGGGGTGCGGGCCCTCCAGTGCCCGCTCTGCAGAGGAGGAAGCCACGTCTTCCCCATGTCCACATGGCTGCAAAGAGGCAAAGCTGGGTCGGAGTGGCCGAGGCTTCTAAGCCCTGGTCTGGGCTTTTCTCTGGACCCCGTGGGCCACTGAGGTGGAGCCAGCTTTCTCGAGAAGAGAAGACGTGGGGCAGGCCAGCAGGTCCGTGCCCAGGTGCCCACAGGACAGGTGTGTGTTCTCTCCAGAGGGCAGGCGAGGGCTTGGGGAGTTAGGACAGGCTCACGAGGAAGAGGGGCGCACACACAGCACCCGTAGTCCAGGCCGCCATCCGAGTCACTCCTGAGAATTCCCAGGAGGAGTTCTGAGGGGCAAAATGTCTCCCCAAGAAAAATCTAAATTCTACTGCTAGGAAATACATTTTCCTCGAAAACCACGATGATAACTTGACTCAAGAGCTGCCGTGAGAAGGATACGTCTTTGAAGAGCTTCAGTCTTGGCCCTGACGCCTGGGTCTGGGTTCGAGGCCCCATCTAACGGGCCCCATGACCCAGCCCTAATTTCCAGCCCCAATTTCCAGCCCCCTCCCCTCCTGGCCCTCCTCCTTCCGGGCCCTGGGGGAAGACATGTTTCTCTCCCTCTCATCCCACTGCCCAGGAGGACCGCCGGAGTGTCGCTGGCAGCCCAAAAACATTCCAGCAGTTCCAGAGGCCTGAGGAATGTCCACTCCTGATGCTGCTGGGTCAGCTGCCGCCCTGCCCCTTGGAGAACATGGACTTACTGCTGTGCTTCACGACACGGCCGGCGCTGCCCAGCGCATCGTTAGCCAGGTAGGCCTGGCCATTCCCACTTCACAGGGGAGTGGCGTCGCCTGCCCAAGGTCACCAATAACGAACGGTGGGCTTGGCCTCCGATCCAGGAGGGCGGCTGTGCCCAGGCTCTCTCTAGAGAGGGAGGGCAGGTGGCTCACTGGCCTGGGCAGAGCACCCTGAAACCCAATGGGGGACCTCTGCTCCCCACAGCTGCTAGTGACGCGAGGCCAGACTAACCCGGGCCGCTCAGCACATGGTGTCTAGCTGGGACCAGGGTCCCAAGGAGCTCAGCGGAGGAACCAGCAGAGTCCCCAACAGCAATGTCACAGGGGTGAGGGGCCTCTCCCACAGAGGACCAGGGTAAGGGGACACAGCTCTTCCCTGGAAGGATGTTCTGCAGGATGGAGGCCCAAAGGACCCGAAGCCCGTTCCCTCTCAGAGGCCACTCTGAAGGAGATGTCCCTGTGGGGGAGGGCAGGGGCAGTGAGGGGCAGTGACGGGGCCGGGAGCACGATTCAGACGGGTGGCTCTGGGGTAGGAGTTGGGACACAGGGATGCTGAGATGGAGAGGGCGCCCGCTGAGGGGCAGCACCCGAGACTGATACCCGCAGACCAAGGGGGCCCAGAGCCTGGCTGAGCCACCCGCATAGGAGGACAGGGTGGTGCCCGGCTCTTGTCCTCAAGGGAGCTGCCAGAGAGGGGGCTGCCCTTGGCCAGGCTGGCCCCAAGAGGAGGGGCGGGAAGCTCCAACCCCAGTGGGGACAGCCTGGTTGTGGCCGGAACCCCCTGACTGCAGGAGTGCTGGGCCTGGGCCCGAGGGTCGGCGCAAATGCACCACGCACTGCTCTGAAACTGGCAGCACTCCAAGGCCTCGCCTGGGGCTCCACGTGGGGACCCAGATTCCTGAGGACCCGTGGAGCGCGTGGGCACACACCGCACTCCGGCATTCAGGAGCGCACGCTGCTGGGCACAGCAGGTGACTGGACGACGGGCCTGGCGTCGGGTGGGCGGGGTGCCGTTTGGGTCTGCAATGGCGCTGGCTCAGGGAGGCGAGGCCAGGTCCCGCCGAAGCCACAGGAGAGCCTTCACTGTTCTCGGAGGCCAGCTGCTTAGTTACTCTGGTACTCCTGACGGCCAAACACACAGCAGACCTTCCACGCACTCCGCGGAACAGCGACGGGAACTGTGTTTAGTGTCATGCGCCTCTGGAGCCTGCGAGGCTATATTTAACCATCTTCTCAGACTTAATTTCCAATTTTATCCTCTGAGGTTCTAAGTGATTCCACCTCCCCGCTCTCACTTGACGAGGCTGTGAAGGACACGGGCAGGCGTGGCGGCCTCGGCTGGGGCTGGGGTGGGGACTGTGCGTCTGCACGTTGCTCCTCTCTCTCTCAGCCCACGCCTCCCTCTCACAGGCTCGTGGTTTTCAGAAACGTCTGCGTGATGTGCCCACAGTCCCACCGTCCCCCAGTCACTGAGCTGGGCCTTTCCCTTCAAATGTCCTCCCCTCGGCGGGTCCAAGGTGTGCAGTCCCAGCCGGGACGCTGGGACACGCCGTGGACCACGTGACATGAGGTGGAGGGGCTTTCCTCACTGAGTCCCAGATGCAGAAGTAAAGGACGTGAAGACACTGCAGCTCCATTCCCGTCACAAGCTCAAGGGTCCTTTGCGTCCCTCCCACACCCTCGCTCTACCCACGTGCTGGCCCAGGACGGGGGTGACCGCACCCGGAGACAAGAAGGGACCTGAGGACCTTTAAATCTTGCCTACCCCGCTCCCCTCGGGCCCCACGCCAGCCACACCGGGCTTCGCTCGTAGCCTAGGTGTGCCCAGGGCCCCTCCGGACCTGCAGGAGGCTGCTCTCTCGACCAGGGCCGGCCTCGCCCCGGGACGAGACGCCCCTGCTGGCCGCTGCCTCGTCAGAGCATTTTGTTCTCATTGAAACTGCTGCACCCCAGGTCTGTGGTATGAGCTGCCAGACGCACACACGCCCCCTCAGGGTGGCCCACGTCCGTCTCGCTGACGAGGGTGGTTGGCGCCCTAGCAACCTAGGGCCTGGCACAGGCCAACACCTCCTACAGCTTCACCTTCTTGAATCCTCACCATGAACGTGGGAGGCAGAGCCTGCGACCACCACGCCTCACAAACGCACCAGGACTGCAGAGCCCAGGGAGTTCTCCAGGTCACTCAGAGGGGAGGAACAGTGTCAGCTGTCACCCAGAGCCTGGGCTCCCGGATGCCCCGACTCCCGTCCCCAAGTGCCACCCAGAGAAGAGTGGGAGGAATGGACAGCGTTCTGTTCAGAGCTCTGCTGTGGCCCCGGCCAGGCCTGGGCGGGCACACCCTGGCAGGAACCAGCACTGGTGATTTGGGGGTCCAGAGGTTTGGCTAGGGTTTGGATGGCCCGAGAGCCAGGACCTCAGGGCAGGCACTACCATTTCATTACCTTGCGCTGGAAAATAGGGCCATCAAAATTATGCCTTTTAAAATCCCAGCACCTGCCGGCCAACTTCAAATGGTACAAAAGCCAGGCCAAGTGCAGACGACGTGTGAACTCGAGTCACGGCCTACCTGGGTGAGGACGTCCAGCTGGCCCACGATGTGCTCCAGCGTGCTGGTCAGCGTCTGGGGCATGCTGGAGGGCTCCTGGGGCTGACTCTGCCCTGACTCCTGACTCCTGCCTCTGCCTGGCGGGATGGGGAACTCCATTTCTGGCTGAAGAGAAGGAAAGGAGAGAGCCTTCAGTCCTGAATGAGTGCTCGAGGAAACAGAGGGCCAGTCCTCGAAGCGGAGCCAGGAGCAGACGTGAGGAGGGGGCCCGAACCCGGTGAGAAGCGCCGTGTGCTGGGCTCCACGTCCCCAAGGATGCGGCCGGCAGATGCCTCAGCGTTGGTCTGGGGACCTACCACCCTCTGTGGCAATGACGTGCTCAGAGAGGCTCACTCTTAGCTGGCCCAGAGCCCCAGTGACCAAACGACGCAGCCACACTGGGTTCGGGGTTTTAAACCATGGCCTCACCAACCGGCACTCCAAATGTCACCACGGCACTCCCCGGCTTCGCCAGTCCTGCAGGGCTCCCCGCCGGCTCCGGGAGAAAACTCGAGCCCCTCGACAAGGCGTCCTGCTCTGGGCCCGCCCCCTCCCATGGCGTCCCCGCCTCTGCGCCCTTGCACCCAGCTCCCGGCCCTCTCCCGCAGGAAGGCCACATCACCCTCTCTCCCCCGCTCCGAGCGGCCCGTCCTCCACGCGCTCTGCAGCCCCGCACTCCCGAGCAGGAGCTCCTCTGTGCTCCCGCACACCTGGGCCTGCCACACTGCTGCCCCATCCCTGCCTGTCCCTCTGGCCACTGTGTCTCAGCGCCAGGACACCTGAGCGGGAGGACCAATGCTGGCCTGTGCACCGGCCCGCTGCCCGCCCATGCGTCTGTCTCCTGCCTGCACTCGTCTCAAAGCCTGCCGGCTACCCATGTGCCACACGCTCCACAGAGCTGGGGTGACCTGTGTATTCTCCTTAGGGAACTATTCTCATCTCAGAGATAACAAACTCTCGAGTGCACATCAATTTGAACTTAAAACAAACACAGGCCTTGGTGGTTAACGAGAACTCGAATGTGACACCAGCCAGAGGGTATTCTTGGAAACAGAGCCACACCATGTCCACACGCCCACCGTCAGCACGTCTGCTGCGGCACTGTGGCCACTGCGGCTGGGCCCCTCCTGTTCTCCGGGAACCAGTGCACTCCAGGCCTCAGTGCCAGGGGTCCATCCCAAAAGGAAGCCTTTCAGAGGCCTCGATCGGCCTTCACCTCCCGCGGCGGATCCTCAGGCCCAGCAGAGAACAGCGGGACAGCAGTGACCTGGCGGACATGCGAGCTCCACTGCTGCCCGGCCACGTGGCCCTGGGCAAGAAGGAGGCGCAGCCTATCTGGGCCCCCACTTGCTCATCTGTAAATGGAGGTGATGACTTGGGCCTGCCCTCCGAAGGGCTGGGCTGTGAGAAGCGCTTATCTGAACCACCAGAAAACCTTTCTTCAGACACGTTCTCAGTCCTGTGCCCTCTACTCCATGAGATCCCAATTCAGACATGCACATTCTTCCTCTGGACACCGAGTCTCCTTGGCTCCCTCAGGAAAGGCCACCGGAAGAAGGGCAGAGCTGGGCAGCCTTGTGTCCCAACAGCTGGCACCCTCAAGGCCAGGTGGGTGCTGCCTACTGCCTGGGGTGGAGGGCATGGGAAGTCTGAGTGTTTCCACAGAACAGCCCAGAAACTGACGGTGCTGAGCTGGGCCCCTGGACGCGCGGGGACGATGGCCGTGGTAAAGGCGTGGGGCGGACCTTGAGGACAGCAGCCACGTGCCCGAGCCGGGAGGGCAGCCATTGGAAGAGAGGGCCGTGGAACCGCCACGCTTTCCCACCTACTCCCAGCTTCCACGGGCCATGTCCATTTCACAGCAAAGGAGACGGGGACTCAGACAGGCGGGGCTGAGGGAGGTACCCAGCCTGGAGCCCCGCTCACAAGTCCAGGGTCCTGCTGCTGGGCTACAGGCCATGCCCCTCGGTCCCCATATTACTTTCAACAGGACACAGCGCCTGTCTGCTTCCCTGTCCACTCCCAGCAGCAGACGGCACGGCAGGAAACACACTGCCAGTCCCGCACGTGGCGATGGCTCTCGCTGCCTGTGTGCCAGCCATCTCCCACGTCACGTCGCTGAAGCCTTCACAGCAGGCATTCTTAACCTTACTTTTCAGATGGGGAAGAAGGCTCAGGGAGGCTAAATAACTTGCTCTTAGTCACCTGGGAAATGACAGCGTTGGGATCTGAACCCGAAGTAGAGGCAGTTCCCTGACATCGGGCGGCCCTGACAGGTGACACGGCCCACAGTTGTGCTTCCAGGCCCAGCTCCTCTTGGATCCCTATGGAGGCTCCCGGCTCTTGGGTCTAATACTTTCCGTATCGTTTCCCCACCCCGCCTGCCCTGGAATGCCTGCCTGGCACGGAGCTGAACGCAGACAGGCCCTCTGCAAGCACTCGATGCCTCTAAGAGCCAAGCCCGCCATGGTGACATTCCTGTGTAATGAAACCTTCCCAAGGCAAAGGGCCAGCGGCCCTGCCCCACACAGCACTGCGGCGACTCACCTGCACACCAGAGATGCAGCATTCCCCCGGGAGCTTGCTAACCAAGCGATAAAGCAGAGGTGACGGACAAGCGTGGGAAGAGACGCACGCGCCCGGGTGGCGACTGATGACAGCAGCACAGCGTTTCTGGAGAAAACCACATCCACGCTGTCTGTCCAGCACCAACATGCACGCGGGGCCTTGCCAGGTGGCTCTGTTAGGTGCACCATGAGTGAAATCGCAGTGACATCAACCCACGCGTACACGCCCATATTGCTGCACCAAGTGGACAATGTTCGCCTTTGCCAAAGAGAAACGTCTTAACATCAAAAGAGAAGAGAAGGTGAAACTCAGAATAGATGAATCTGACTTTGTGGAGATCTCGCTTGGGGTCCTGGCTGTCCCCTCTCACCCCCGCCCCCCATGTGGGACCTTGGGCTCTCAACAGTAGGTTAACCTTCTGCTTGGCTCCGTTGCTGCCAGCCTGTCCTACGCCACCACGAGCTCAGCACTTCGCACTCAGAAGGAAACGTGTTAATATCTGTGGTTGATCTCAGCCACTCAAACACATGGGTCATCACCTCATAAGTTTTCATTAGAAAAACAAAACAAGACAGCTTGCAGGTCTTCTTGCGATAAGAAATCAACCCGTCGGGGTTAACTTCTTGACTGGTCTCTGGATTGACTATGGTCTCAATTTTTCATTAAGATGCAGGTATGGGTAAGGAGCTTCACCTAAGATTTAGAAAGCTGGGGAAAGCATTAACCCCATCCTAGTAAGAGAAAGACCGACAATCTGAAAGAATCATCGTCTCTCTTAAATCAGAGAGCCCAGGCCACAGAGTTAACTAGCCTAACATCATAGAAAGCTGGGGAAAGCATTAACCACATCCTAGTAAGAGAAAGACCGACAATCTGAGAGCCCAGGCCACAGAGTTAACTAGCCTAACATCTAAGGAAAGACAGACTCTCCCAAGGGAAACAGGAAGTGAGCACAGCTCACCTTTGGCAAAACACACAAGGGACACCCAGTGCTATTCAAGTGGGTGAGAACTGAGTTATAAGTTTTAACAAATCGCTAGAGGCTGACTGTGGACAGGATGAGAGTGAAGAACCCCTAGGGGGGCCACAGATACAAGGGGCGTTTGCACCCACTCACAGGTTCCCCTCCACAAACCTCCACCGGGCTCCCGTGAGAACGACGAGGACAGGGCAGTGGGTGGGAGCAAACCATCCTGGAGGAGGGGACCTCCTCCCCTACAGAACAAAATCCTTAAGATACGGGGAAAGAGCAAAAATAGATCCCTGGGGGAGAGGCAGGAAATCATCCTGAGCCGAGGTCACGGAGGTCGCCTATGGCTGGGGCAGGGGCAGGACTCATGAGGACGCCCGACTGAGACCCAGGGACATAGGGCCCAAGACAGAAGCTGCGCCAGGGCAACGGAACTCCCCCCAACAAAGCTAGCAAGAACCATGGAACGAGGAACAGCAGCCTGTGGCTGAGAGAGGGACAAGAGCGTGGGGACAGACGCCCTCTGACGGGCACGCCCTGAAGAAAGGCTGAAAGTTGGGGGTGGGGCAGGAACGTTGAGAAAAACCTTCAGACGCCCAGACCTCATTCTGAGTACATAGAAACACTAAACTAAGCTTGACTCCCGATGAGACTATTTACCTCCCCATCTCCACCGTCCTATCTGCAACGTCTGGCATTCGGTCAAAGATTATGAGACACATAAAAGAGCAAAGGAAAAAACTCACTGTTAAGAGATGTGGATTCAGATGACTTAGATGGTGGCACTACTGGACAGAGAATTTAAAATAACTATAATTAATATGTTAAAGTTTCTACTAGAAAGTGTGGACAACACACACGAACAGGTGGAGAATTTCAGCAGAAAGGTAGAAATTATGAGTTGATGGAAATGCTAGAAATAAGAATTGCTTTGCTGGGCCATGATAAGGTTCAATTTGGTAGAGGAGAATAATTCAGTGACCTTAAAGACAGATCAATTCCTCAAACCGGAACATAACTGGGAAAAGAACAGAATGGAGCTGTTCCATAAGCTGTGCAGACTGTGTAACGTGTGCGACTGGAATCCCAGGACAAAAGACATTTCTTATAATGCAAGTTTGCTGGTTATGAATTCTCTCAGCTTTTGTGTGTCTAAAAAGAAGTATTTATTTCTCCATTTCTAAAAGATATTTTCGCTGAGTATAGAACTCTGGTTTGTCTTTGAAAACTTTGCAGATGTTACTTCAGTGTCTTCTGGTTTGTATAGTTTCGTATGAGAATAATTCTTTAATTCCTGCCTTTGATCCCCGTGTATAACGTGGCTCCTTTCTCTACCTACCTTCAAGCTTGTCTCTGAACCTTCAGTTTTCGGAAGCTTGAGTATAATTTGTATGGGCTTTTGTTTTGTTTTGTTTTTCTTCAGCCCACTTATCATTTCTCTGAGCTTCTTAGATCTGTGGTTTGATGTCTTTCATTATTTTTTGAAAATTCTTGGCCATTATATTTTCAATAGCACCAGAAAACACAAAATGTGTAACCAGTTCCCTAGACCTGCTCTAAAACACTGTCATACTTGGTGTCTTAAAGT